ACGTTGCATCACTTGACCCTTTGGATTACCACTTAGACGGATTGCTTATTTGTATCCTTTCCTCTCTATTCTACGGAGTCAGTTTCCTTTTCTTCTTAATTTGTAGAAGCTCTTTTACATAAAAAATAGTAACAGTTTACACATGTTGTGAATATTTCTCCAGCCTATCTGTGTTTTGACTTTGTGGCTATATTGTTCTATATATTTTGGCAGACATATCAAGAAATAAATATATTTTACATCATGATTCAGTATACAGACTCACATGGGCAGAAGAGTTGCATGGTGATACTTTAAGTTTAGTGTACTCATTTTTTTCTATACCATTCAATTTATAAACAAAAGCAAAAACACTTGTAGCTGGACACGCTGGCTGACACCTATAATCCCAGCCCTTTGCTAGGCTAAGGCGGGAGGATTGCTTGAGCCCAGGAGTTTCAGATCAGCCTGGGCAACATAGCGAGACCTCATTTTTACTAAAAATCAAAACAAACAAAAGACAACTTGTCATAAAACACTAAGCTGGTATTGGGACTCATGGGTTCAAATCAGTGATTCAAAAAGCACTATGTTATGGTGTCTTTTGCCTTTAAAATTGCTAATTTTATATGTGGTCAAAATCTTTTTCATTTATGGCTTCTCACTTTTTCTCTTGCTTTGAAAGATTGTCCCTATCTTCTAAATGTTCTTATTCTTACATTTTTTATATGTGTGTGTGACATGCAATTTGTTTTGTTTTCTTTTTTTTTTCTTTTGAGTCAGAGTCTCACTGATGCCCAGACAGGAGTGTAGTGGCATGCCCACGGCCACTGCAGCCTCGATCTGCTGGGCTCAGGTGATCCTTGTACCTCAGCCTTCCAAGTAGCTGGAACCACAGGCACAGGCCACCATGCACAGTCAATGTTTTCTATTCATTGTAGAGATGAGGTCTCACTAAGTTGCCCAGGCTGGTCTCAAACCCCTTGGCTCAGGCAATCCTCTCATCTCTGCCTCCCAAAGTGCTGGGATTATAGGAAATTCATATAAATTTTGCAGTGTCACCAAGCCCGGCCAAGTATTGCTTTTTATTATTAAAAATATTTTTAGACCAGGCTCTGTGGCTCAGCCTGTAATCCCAGCATTTTGGAAGGCCGAGGCAAGTGGATTGCTTGAGACCACGGGTTCGAGACCAGTCCGGGCAACTTGGCGAGACCTCGTCTCTATAATAAATCAAAAATTAGCCCGGTGTGGTAGCACTCACCTGTAGTTCCAGCTACTTTGAAGACTGAGGTGGAGGGATCACCTGAGCCTAGCAGGTCGATGCTGGGGTGTCCGTGAGCAGTATGCCTCTGCACTCCAGCCTGGGCCATGGAGTGAGACTCCAACTCAAAAAAAAAAATTTGTACTAGTGTTATCTTTTAAATAAAATTTGACTATTCTATTTTTATTTTTCAAAAGTTCTTATTAAAATGTAATATACACCAGGCTTGGTGGCTCAGCCTGTAATCCCGCACTTTGGGAGGCTGAGGTGAGCGGATTGCCTGAGCCCGCTGGTTCGAGACCTGCCTGGGCAACTTAGCGAGACCTCATCTCTACAAAAAATCAAAAAATAAGCCGGGCGTGGTAGCGCATGCCTGTAGTTCTGGCTACTTGGAAGGCTGAGGCGGAAGGA